CTACGTTGACTCTGATTTCTCATTCTCTGATGAGAATACGTAGGCATAAAGTGCGACGCTTTGCCGAGTCATTTTTCTTTTCTTTTTCAGCCAGCCTTGATAGGTAGATAGAATAAAACCAACCCGTCCAAGTAAACTAACAAGCGTGGATCCCGTCGAGTACGACGGACGTGAGGGGTGCTAATACCTTCCCCTTGCGTAACCGACTCCCGAATCCAGACAATGGTTGCGACGACCTTGTCTTACCCTTATTCGTTAGGTTTTTCCGATCGTTTCCTTTCCCGCTCTGAGGGATAAATAACGAAAGGTGGCGACTCTTCTGTTGTGCCGGCACCTTATTTTCGCGAAAGCGACAACTGCCAGTACTGAGGATCTGATCCCAAAACTCTGCTCTGAACAATTACACGCTGAAAGCACACATGCTGCAAAGACTCTGATTCAGCAAACTCTGATGAACATCAGAAGACTCTGACCAATCTAGACTCTGATGATATTTGCTGAAACTTGTTGAAGAAGAATTCAAACTTATGTCCGTTAGTATGGCCAAACAACTCTTTCCTCATTAATGCTAGACACAAGAACACAGACAAAAAAGATTTCTCTGTGCATTCTATTTCTAAGAAAGGTCATGTGATGTGAAGACAAAAAGGCTCAGACCTTTTAGTACACAACCTTCAACGTGATAGCTACTTGGAGATCTTTGCCTATAAAAGCAAGACTCCATCCATCTTCTTCAGTTGACGAAACATTTGAAAGAAATTCAAAGAAAGCTCTCATATAATTTATTCTCATTTGCTGAATTTATTTCATAGTTCTTAAATCTTAAGTGTAAAATCACAGTTGTGATAAAGCTTAATTAGAAGCAATTTAAACACTTGTATTATTCTTACATTTGATTGTAAAAGATCATTAAGAAGATCCAGTTGGGATCAATAGTTCTTAAGAAGACTAAGAACAATTGCTCTTAGTGCTTGCTATTATAATCAGTTGATTTAATAGTGGATTAAGTCCTTGTTGAGAAAGGTAAATCACTTTTGATAGGGTGGACTGGAGTAGTTGAGTTCAACGAACCAGGATAAAAATCCTTGAGTTTTTATTACTATAAGTTTTTCAATATACTTATTCAACCCCCTTTCTAAGTATTTTCTCACCTTCAGGTGTAAAATGCAATGTAACACCATTTTCAACTATCCACATGCTCTTGTCTAATACAAGATTAAAAGACTCGTGATCACGAAGAATAACAAGATCATCACTAGTAGTAGTAGTAACATCATCATAACCTTCATGGTATCTTTGTTTAGACTTACTCTTCTTCTCTTTGTTATCTCTTTTCTACTGATAGCAATACTTTTGTATGTGTCATATTTTGTGACAATCATGACACTCCAGATTCTTATATTGTGGCTTAGACTTGCTTCTGCTATTCTCTCTACCACTCTTCGATTTCTTTTTATGACTTATCCCCCTATTTTTAGTGACAAGTACCTTAGGTTGAGATGAAGAACCCTATACCTTCCTTCTCATCTCCTCATTAAGAATACCACCCTTAGCTATTTCTAAAGAAACAACACCTTTAGAAGCATAACTTATAATAGAAACCCGAAACGTCTCCCAAGACTCTAGTAAAGATAGCAATAGAAGTAGTCCTAAAAGTTCATCAAATTTGATACTCATTCTTGACATATGATCAAGGAGCCCTTGAAATTCACTCAAGTGATCTGAAATAGAAGTCTTCTCTTTATACTTCAAACTTATAAAGCTATTCAACAATAACAATTTATTATTCCCTGATTTAGAGGCATACAAGGACTCTATCTTCTCCCACAAAGTTTTTGCATGTGTCTCATTAGTAATAAAGATTATAAACATTAACTTATATATATATATATATATATATATATATATATATATATATATATATATATATATATATATATATATATATATATATATATATATATATATATATATATATATATATATATATATATATATATATATATATATATATATATATATATATATATATATATATATATATATATATATATATATATATATATATATATATATATATATATATATATATATATATATATATATATTCGAATGAAACCATATACCTATTGATGTTCAAACTCTTATTCTTCATCAGATACAAAATCTAACTTTGCAGAACTAAAAATCAATAAATGTAATTTCTTCATAAATAGTAAGTCTTTCATCCTGCCCTTCCTTAAATGGTAATTGGAACCATTCAACAATACCATCTTCATATTTGTATTTGACTCCATCATTCAAACAAGTAAAATAGCCCTTAACCAAGAGCTCTAATGCCACTCTGATGGGAAATTAAAATACAATAATAGACCAATACGCTGCGAATATAAAATTTTTTAGACTTGTAAGGACCTCGATGATCAACAACAAATATAAGACGAAAAATTGAACAAATAAAGGCACAAAAGAACACCGACATTTTTAACGTGGAAAACCTCTCAATATGAGATTAAAAATCACGAGTCGTTTATACTAAATAATTAACTCCACTCTAATCAATTACGAGTATAAGAAAGTCTTTAAGTGATTCACAAACTAGTACTAACAACCACAAATTCCAAAGCAAACTAGCTTACAAATAAGAATAAAAAAGTTAAAAAATTTCTCAAATTTGCAGCTTTAGTGCAAAGCAGATAACTCTCATCTCAGACGTTATTTTGAAATTGTGAACGGTCAAAAGTTAGATACATGTGCTACGTACTGAGTCTCCAAATTTGAGCTCAACCTGACGGTTAACGAATCAGAGATATTAGATTTAGTATGACTGGTTACAGAATAGCGAGAATGAGTTTTTCTTCTCTTTTATCTCTTTTGAATCATTATTTTCTCTCTATCTCTTTCAATCTTAAATTGATTATCTCCACTTAAATAAATGAGACAAATAAACTAATCATATAGGCGCATTTCTCTATATAAAAAAGAAGCCTAAACCAACACAACATATTTAGGGCAACTCATAAAGCTCGACAATTTTACTTGAAAAATTATAAAGTCCATTTTAAAAGTAGGATTGACTTGATCATAATATATCCTTGTTTTTGTTATTGTGTCTCCGATTGTCGATTAAGATCACTTTCAATAACGAATTTTTTTTCCAGAAATGCCAGAATTTGAAATTAAAAATACCATATTGCCACATATTAAAAAAAAATTTCAAAAATACCACATATTCACTATGGGCTCGTCCATTGGAAGGACGAGCCAATGAAGTCCAGAAAAGGTAGTTGGGGTTCGGCCATCCATTGGCCGACCCTATACTACGTGTTTTTTTTTTTGTTTTATTTATTTATTTTAGAAATAAATATATATTATATATTATTATTTTATATTTTAAATTATTTTTTTATATATTAAAATTATTTAAATGATATTTTATATTAATAAATAAATAATTTAATTATTTTAAATAATTTTTTAATATTATTAAATATTTTTCACATCATCTAGTTATATAATTTAATTATTTTTAATATTAAATATTTTTCACATTATATAATTTAATTATTTTAAAATATTTTTTAATTATATAAAATAATAAATTAAATCATAAATAAAGAAAATTTTATTAATATTTATGAGTGAAAAAAATACATAAATATTTTTCATAAATTAAATCATAAATCATAAAAATTTCCTTTATTAATACATCATAAAAATACATAAATTATAAATATTTTTCATAAATTATAAAAATACATAAATATTTTTCATAAATTAAATCATAAATCATAAAAATTTCCTTTATTAATACATAAATCATAAATATTTTTCACTTATAAATATTTTCTTTATTAATACATTATAAAAATTCATAAAAATGATGTTAAATTCATAAAAATTCATAAATATTCTGAACCCCAACTACCTTTTTTGGACTTCATTGGGTCGTCTTCCCAATAGACGGCCCCAGTGAATATGTGGTATTCTTTTTAAAAAAATTTAATACGTGGCAATATGATATTTTTAATTTTAAATTGTGGCATTTTTTAAAAAAATTCTTCAATAACCAATCAAAACCATTTATGTTTTAATGATTCAATTGTAGCTATGACATGGTCAAAATGGTGATAAACAAACAGATCAAGTACCTTGATCATAGATTCAAATGGTGCAATTGCTACCTCTAATAGAACATAATGTAGGCCATATTGCATAAGATAGTAACCGTGACTGACACAACCTTTAATTACCACTCATGTGCGAAACAGAATGGACCACCACTTCCACACGTGCACGTGGTATACTGCAAGAATATTTGTCAACTAGGACTCACAAAACTCTCGTGTGCATAGCTGATTTTTACAAACACAACATAAATTCTATTTATGCAAATTTTTGGGTATGCCTTTTCCACTTCTCTCTCAGAGTTTATACACATTTTTGGTCATGCTGTCACATTCAAAATCTTCACTTTATCAGAGATAAATCATAGAGAAAGTATATTCATTAATTGCTTCTATTATTAATGACCCATTAGTTAATGATGAGCATGTTTTAAATAGCGTCTCAGTCTAGTTCGAGCTGCAAAAAGCCTTTTTCAATTTCGGTTGATACATAAATTATAATACTTTTTTATATTAATAGGTTTAATAATATTAATTGCATTCGTCGCATTGAATTTATCACAATTTTTTTTCTATCATAAAATTTATGGAACTATTGACATTTTTTTGATACCGTTTTGTCGGGATTGTTTTTGAGTTAAATTTTTTTTTTTAAAACTGTAATGATTAGTACATTCATTAAATCATGCAAGTGAATGGGAGGGACCCTTTATCGCATTGTTTATTAAATTATTTCATTGACTATAAATTTGGTGAATTGTTTATCCAAAAAACATTCATATAAACTTTTCACATATTGTTACATTATATTTTTGTGTAATAAACATTAGTTTCAAACCAAACAACTCTTTTGTTCAACATTCAGAATCAAACATGAAAAAGCAACACACATATTATCCAACCTCATCAACATCTTCTAAGCTAGGAGTTGGCAAAGATTCACAAGTGATATCAAAAGCGAAGCCGAAAATCCGAATAATTCATATATATGCTCCAGAAATCATAAAAACTGATGTTGCAAATTTCAGAGAGCTTGTTCAAAGACTCACAGGAAAGCCAGAAGAACATGAAAAGGGAGGTGCAAGAAGCAAATCCAAAACTGCACTACCTATTGTGCAAGAAGATGAAAAGGATTTTCTTAGTCTGCAAAATGGGATGATAAGTGTGAAGAATGAAACTGAAGAGGATGAAATATGGAGAAGATCAAAGTCAAATGAAAAATTCAATGGTTTCTTAGATGGTTTTTCAGAATATGATGGTTTTATGGAAGAGTTAAGTACTACTATGCCTCTACTTAATTAATTAAAATTAAGATCTTATTTTGATGTTTTGTTCGTTATTTTTCTTGCTAATTGATGCGTGCATATTAATTACAAATATTAATCACAGACAAAATTTGTGCTTATTGAAGATTGGTAATTAGTTATATATGAATGTGTAGTGATTTGAAGATTGCAAATTGTTATTCATTCAAGAAATCAACTAACAACATTACTTTGAAATCACATACTATTCTGTATGAGATTATCTATAATGATTTCTTATCAATTTTTTAAAATTTACCTTAAACGATTTTATATAAAAGATTTAAGTCTCAAAAATTAAAATTGTCAAATATAAATAACATGTAAATATGTTAATTGTCGGATCACATTTTTTTATATTTGATTATTTTATTTAAAACGACTTTAAAGATTGTGGATCTTTCCACGAAAATTTCAGAAAAAGCTTAGTCAAAATAATTATGTTATTTAATTACTTCCACTATATACATTTTTATTTCAACTAGTTATCTAAATGTTATTTGGAAATTAATGGGATACCACTATAGTGACATTTTTTTTATAACTTAATGTAATGTCAAGGTTTGGCTTGTATAGTTTACTTTTGTTTTACTCAAGATTATGACAACATTTGACTTTGGATGGCAAAAAGTCAGCTCCTAATACAAATCTGAAGGGGCAACCACATATCATGACACTCTTAAGTGGTCTATATTAAATATCAAAAGTCTTTTATTTATATTTATATAACATTTATAAAAGTATTGTATTTTCTCACAAATTAAGTTGGCAACATAAATTACCATTTTTTTTCTTTAAGGTCTATCTGTGAGTTGATTTTTGAATGATTTTTATAAGAGAATATTTTGAAGATTAAACATCTATATTTTAAAATGAATTTGATATTTTAAAAATGTTTAAACTATAATATGATAATATATAATTAATATATCAATTTAGATTTTTATTTTTTTTTAAATATCAATCATACATCGAAGTCCTCCAAAATCTTCCTCTTCAAAATCCTCAAAAACCAACTAATATAATAAGAGACTATCTTAATTTTATATACTCTTAAGACTATTGCATTTTGTATACTTTAATTATTCTTATTATTCTCATAATAAATATTTTATTATTTGAGATGTATGTGTTTTTTGAGAATATGATTAGATGTATTAATTTTAATAATAAAATTTATATTTTTTATTAAAATGTCCTTATTTATTATAGTTAGTGAAGTAGTTGAAAAACGTAAAAATTAATATAGAAATATAAAGTGAAAATAATAATAATAATAATAATAATAATAAATATTGTATTGATATTTTAAAGAGATATTTATTTTGAGATTAAAAAGAAAAAGTGTAAATAAGACATTTTTATGAGCGGTTTTCCATAAAATAAATTCTTTCAACTAAGGTTTCTATCATTCTCATATCACCAAAACGTGGGAAGCACAATTCTAACATGTCTTTCTCAATAGATAATTACAATTTTCTCTTTAATACATTAATTGACTTTAGTTATAATTTTTTTTATGTAACATCTATAGCTATAAAATGTGTGTCTCTATGCCGGCAAAAAAATCTTATCAAAATTCCAATTTGCTAAGTAACTCATCATAGTATATATAAATACAACAAGCCACCTTAAAATTCTAAGCTCAATATTTAAATAAACTATCCACTGAGAAAGATCAACATGATCTAAATATAAAAGATCAGATTGGCATCGTTCACTGATATGCTCTTCAATGAGCTTTATTCTTCAAACCTTTCATATTTGCTAAAAGTACAGACGATCAACAGAATCCGCGCTAAAGGTATAGCCGGAAAAAAATTGATCGCATGTATGAAGTGTGTTTGGCGAAGATCTCGATCAATGCTTAGTTCAGACTGCTTTTGGTTGGGGCTGCTCCGGTGTCGTCCTGCCATATGGCGAGTTCTAACAACATATGATATACCTGATATATATCACAGATAAATCCTTGTGGTTTAGTAAATTGTAAAACCAATCTTCATAGAGATTGAATGCGAAAATTCTATAGAGAAAGAAAAAATAATGACCAAACCTTATCCACCAATATGTATCATAGGCCTATTTGCCGTCTTCGCTATGTCTAACATACCGGCATGTGAAGGTTTCTTCCTCTTCACCTAAACAACATGATAGAACAAAATCTTGTAGAATAACTTAGATAAACCTTACAATTTTAGTTACTATACCATCATCCACTGTTAACTATTGTGCTAGGCAGGTATCATGGTTTTAACCAAAATTGCGGCCGCAACATAAAGATTTTCAGCATAACAGCAACCGCTACCGCGGCCGCAATTTGAAACAATGACAAGTCCTCAGCCGTGTAGAATGCAATCACATTTTTCAGGGAAGAATTTGACAAATTGTATTAGAATATAGCAAGTAAATATAGTTCTAATACTAAAAAATTACTAAATCGTCATGATGAAATTCGGAATCTTGGTAATAATAACAAGAGCATACCGCCGCGCTTATTATCTCTCTAAGCTCGTGATCCTCTGCACCATTCCGTATGGGATCTCTTAAGCTTACCTGCAGTGCAAGACAATAAGCCCATGTAAGACAGTCACAGTAATCCTTTTCTAAAGTTACACATGAAACATGTTATACATATTTAATAGGAAGCAGAACAGCCATCATTTCACCAAGTTGTGGCTTAAAAATGAGAAATAGTTTATTTTCATGACTGCAAGGAAAGGATATGATTCATATGAATAATCCCTTAATACAAAATGACAATGTCATGCTTAATTTCCATGTCTTCTGTCAAAACCATATACAAACAAACTTCAAGATGGACAAACACCCAGAACCATACCCAACAATCTCATAGCTAACTATACGAATACGAATCTTTTATGCACTTTTTAAAACCTTATCATGCTAAAGGTTTAAGCTATGAAGGAATGGCGCAGACACTGACCCAGAAACATTGATCCTAGTAGTAATTTGAATAAATGGAATAGTAAAATGTAAACGCATGTGTCAGTGTCGATGTGTGCCAGACACCAGGCACACCTTCAATCTAAAGTGTTAGTGTTACATAAGGTTTAAGTTCATATTTATACTCATAAAAATCATTTATGTTCCTTAAATACCAATCCATTAATCCTTCATTTCCCATGTGATCTAATTATCAGATTCAATGTCTTTTGGATTTAAAAAGCCTCCAATTTATCATCACCAACTATAACCAGATTCACCAAAAACACATAAAGAAGAGCGTAACAGAATTGCGGTCATGAAATTTAAGTGGCGTGCATGATATACTGAATAATGATTGATGGTTAGAATATAACATACCTCTGAAGGTCCAAACAAACAAACTTTTAAGTTTCCATCAGCTAGTAGTCGCAATCTATTGCAACCAGCACAAAAATGTTCAGTCATTGATGTGACAAATGAAACTTTTCCTTTATGGCCATCTATAGTGAAATTCTTAGCCGTTTCTGTCGGGTGATCCTGAACTCTTTTTAAGCTAGTAAACTGTTTCGCCTGTTTGACAATGATGGTTATGAAGGCTCTCAACTATAAGAAAACATTACAAAAAACTATAAAAACGAGCTCTGCTGTCCGATTTCTACCTTACCACTGTATCCAACATTTCTGAGTAAGGTACAAGTTTCTTGACATTCCAAACATTTCCATCAAAAGGCATGAACTCAATGAACCGAACATTAATTGGCTTTTCACGCGTCAGCTCAACAAAGTCACAGATTTCATCATCGTTGAATCCACGCATTACAACACAATTGACCTAGAATGAAACAGAAACATACAAGACACACTCAAATGTATCAATCAGCAATATGTGAATGCCTTTATGAATTAGTCAAAAGGAAACTACTCATAGAGAGGTGAATCCAATATTGTCTACCACATATCGCAATAAATAACAGTTAATTCAGATTTCAACATCCAATAGTGCTATAGCAGCTATTTGACAACATTTTGTATTAAATAACGTATCACCGAACAATAGTGATTTGTTTAATTCCACTTGTCTATAGTGTATCCAAAACAATTGTGAATTGTTCAAACTTCCCTGCACTATTTGTGCCCCTATTTAACAACACTACAGTGACCAAATCGAAAAATGTGCAAAACGTAAAGAAACAAGACCAAACATATACCTTAACCGGATCATAACCAAGATCCACAGCAGCATTAATTGAATCCATTACTTTGTTATGCCCTTTCCGTCTCGTCATAAGCTCAAACTTTGCCGGAACAAGCGTATCCACACTAATATTCAAAGCAGTAAGTCCACACTCTTTAAGCTTCGGAAGTTTTCTCGCAAGCACAATCCCATTCGTAGTCATAGACAACGTCTCCAACCCCTTCAAACTCGACAACTCAAAACATATATCTTCAATATCCTTTCTGATAGTCGGCTCACCACCCGTCAACCGTATCTTATTCACACCAGAACTCACAAACAGATCAGCCACTCGCAGAATCTCGTCTTTCGTTAAAACCTGAGAGGTAGGAGTTAGGTCCACACCCTCAGCCGGCATACAATACTTACACCTTAAGTTACATCTCTCTGTTAAGGAAATTCTCAAATAAGTATGAATCCTTCCAAATGAATCCACCAACATATCAGAAACAGAATTCTCTTTCGGCTTTTCTTCGGATAACGAATCACAAGATGTTACTGAAGTTTCTGTAGAATAATGACTAGAATCTCCTTTGATTAAAGTTTGAAGATTACATATTCTCGTCTCAAATTTCACCTGATATAACAGAATCAGTTTCACTACTAATCAAATTTTCATTATCACAAACATGAACCTAAATATAACTATAAGAACATAAACATAACAGTTTAGATTAGATCTAAGTAATATTGATTGAAGTTGAAGAACAATTGAGGTAAAGTGTGTTGTGAGTGAGTTTCACGAGAGGTAAAAGAAAGTCAAAGATAGAGAGATATTTACCGGAATTGAAATTGATGTGTTGAATCCAATTGGCGAATGAATGAATTTGGAGAAGTAGCGTCTCATGATGGATAGAGAGACAGCGAATGAGGTGAAGCAGAGAGAGAGAGACAGATTTACGTGTTGGGTTTGAAGTGTGAAGATAAGAAAGAAAAAAAACAGTGAAAGAGACAAAACACAATCTCGAGTTGCTGAGTCAATCTATCTATCATTATAAACTCGTTTATTTTATTTGTTTAATTCCAACTTTATAGGTTTTCTTTTACTATCGAGTAGGGAATTTTATTCCATGTTTCTGTACTAAATATTCACATTAGAATTTAGGTTTATACCTTGTAATCAGCAATGATAATCCTACACCCAAATATGACAATTAAACCATATTTCATACGATTTGATTCTTTTTTGTTATATTTAATAATTATTTTTCATTTTTTCTAATTCAAAAGTACACATGTCTTGTTGTATTTCTTCATGGTGTAAGGTTGGTGTTAGAATAACAATCCTCGTATATTTTTTTCTTTTATCTTTAGGCTTTATTTTGATTGATTGATTTAGACATTGTAGAGTGGTAGGAGATAGAATTGAGTAGTTTTGCAATTATTTAAAATCGGATGAAGTGGAATAGAATAGAGTGAAATGAGTATATTTCAATTTTATTATTTACGACTATATTTTGCGTCCTAAAATTTTAAGACGAAAGTATAGAATCTTCATTTTGCTATGTTACATTTTAGTTTGTTTCATTTATTTTATGATATCAAAACATAGTCTAAAGATATGTTTTAATTAATGAGGAATGAAATTATATCAATTTATGTTTTATTGTTTGGATTAATTAAAAAAGGATGAAATGTAGCGGTAAAAATATGATTTTTTAAGTTGAAAAAAAAAACATAAAGAAAAAAGAGGAACACAATCATAACACAATAACATATCGTTGAAACTTCAAAATTGGAGAAAACACAACAAGATTGGTAGTGTTTTTTTGTTGCTATTTTTAGGTTTTAATAAGAATTTGAGGCGAAAGAGGAACAAAAACAAGCAACACACGGAAAAACGTTAAAAGTCGGAAAATCCTAGTACAAAATCCAGAGGGTTGTGACGGCCACCAGTAACAGCTGTTACGGGCCGTAGCAGCCAAGCTTTGGAGATGCTTTCATTTTGATGCACCATATAAAGACTAGAGGCTACGGCCACCCGTAGCAGGATGGCGTGCTATCTCTTGATTTCTTTCATTTTTCAGATCAATTTCATCTATTTTTAGAATTGTGCATATTTAGATATGATATTTTCTGATGTAATGACTATTGATCAGTGAGATATTGGTCCATGTTTAGAATTCTCTATAAAACTCACAGTAGTCTTAAGTTTATGGATCCAAGTTTTTTTCTAAGTTTCTGCATTCTCTTTGTACCCAAGTCTCCGTTAGAGCACTGAATCAAAGCTTAATCAATCGGGTTTTGTTTATCATTTTCAATATAATTTCTACTCTATTTTTGTTGTCTATTATGAATTCGACTATGAATATCACTTTGATTCTGTTTTCCCTCACCATGAGTGAGTAGTCCATTAGGAACTAGGGGTCATGGGGCTTATCTCATGACTATTTGTATGATTTGTCACAAGTCGATTACAAGAGTCTTTTATCTGTATTTATTTTAATGCCTGAGTCCATGCATTCCAACCCTTGTACGAAAGTAAAGTGTTCTCAGGTGCCAATTATAGTCTGAAAGGATATGTATATGTATCAGAGCGCATGTTTTTAAACAAACAAGTTCAATAAAATGAAAGTCATTGGATGGGTTTGAGAAAAGTTTCGATTTTTATAGCTGAGAAAAAGTAATGAATCCTTGATAAATAATTCGGTCGAGGAAAGCCAAAGAATTGTTCTTCATCGATAGGGAAACACATTGGCGAAAATAGGTGTTGCTCATATTTATCTATTTTCTATAAATTGTGTTAGAGCTCTCGTAATAGAAGTGACTCGGATCGTAGAGATGTGTTAGGGTAAGAACTGTGACCTTAAGTTTTGTTTGTCTCCATTGTGATTTAAGTACTTTTCAATTAAGTTATTTTTCTAATAACTGCTTTTTATTTTAGTTGTTTTTATAAAATCTCAAATTATTGATCTCTCTAGGTATACATCGATAGAGTAGAATTCGATATTCAATCTATTGGTCCTTATGGTTTGATAATATTTTACTACTTCACACAATTATGCACTTGCAGCGTGTCATGTTTTTGGCGTTGTTGTCAGGGACCAATTACGTTTGATATTGAATTACTATTTAATCCTCGTATATAATATAGCTTTATTTTTCTGTTTATTTTGTTGTAGTTCTCGTTGCTCTTTATGCGAAGAACTTGTTTTGCTAGGAATTTGGTCGAACCTATGATTGAAATCAAGCGTTTCTTACGTGAGAGACGCCGAAATGTCAGACAACAAGAGATAGTTGATCCAGTAGTTGAAACTAAGCCACTTAAGGATTGTGTGATTCCTACCGAAGAGGGGCTGCATTGTAGTATTGCGCATCTGCCAATTGTGACAAATAATTTTGAATTGAAACCTTCTTTGATCGATATGGTGCTACAAAATCAATTTACTGGGTTATCATCTGAAAACTCGAACCTTCATCTTTCTATAGTTGTTGATAACGGTGGTACTATTAAGGCTAATGGAGTTGACCAAAATTTCATTACTCTTCGATTATTCCCTTTTTCTTTGAGATTTTGTACACGGGCTTGGCTTTAATCCTTACTCTCCTATTCGATTACTTCCTAAACTCAATTTAAAGAGGCCTTTCTTGCGTGGTATTTTTCGCTAAGCAATACAACCCATGTTAGGAATGAGATTAATAGTTTTAGGCAAGAAAAAGGGGAATCATTATTTGACGTGTGGGAGTGCTATTAGGATTTTTTAAGACTGTTCCCTTTTCATATACTTGAGAAGTGGATGATTATCCCCACCTTCTATAATGGTCTTTTTTACTCCACAAGAATGACCTTAAATGCGGCTTCTGGCTGAGCCATCATGAATAGTCCTCAAGATGTAGTCTATAACTTGAAAGAAGAGATGACCAAAAATCACCACTCATGGGGAAGTATGCAACAAGTCGCCGCTAAATATGACTCTAAAATTGATGGCCTCTATGAGGTTAATGTGTTTGACCACATGAACACAAAGGTGGATTCCTTTTACCATAAGATAAATAGTTTAAGCATCACACCCCCACGTATATTACACTTGCCCCTATTGCTTCTGTTGTCCCCGTCACTCTCTACTATGAGATATGATGAACTAATGGACACACTAATAAAGATTGTTAAATGATCCTCGCCAAAGGATCCACCTAAGGAAATTCAAAATTTCTAAACAACAACCAGTGGAATAGTTCGTATTCTAACACCTATAACCCATGGTGGTGAGACCACCCTAATTTCTCTTATAGGAAGAAAAAAAATCTCAACAAGCTATGGGACCACCGAGTTTCAAAAAAGTTATGCCAACTGAGCCTAAGAAATCCAACTTAGAGCTTTTGATAGAAAACTTCGTGATGATGTAAATTCATCAAAACAATGAATTTAAACATCAAAACCTCATCACCAATGAGGCACTTAGGCCGTTGACCATTAAGATTGACAACTTTGCCACCCATAACAAAATGTTGGAGACTCAAATCTCCCAAGTTGCTCAGCAACAAACTTCTACCTCCATCCTTTTCAGGTCATTTTCGTGGCAACCCGAGCAAAATCATAAGGGATACTTGAATGCTGTAACAACTCGTAGTGGTAAGAAAATGGGTAGTTCTGGTGAGAGAGAAAAAGAGGTTGAAGAGAGTGAGCCAACAACACCTGAAAAAGAGGTTGTTAAAGAGGTTGAGAAGGAAGCACTTTATGTTGTTCCTCATCCTTACAAACCAATCTCCCCTTTCCCACAAAGGTTTGTCAAGGCCAAAGTGAAAGCCCAGTTCAAAACATTTATGGAACTCCTTAAAAAGATCCACCTCAATGTGCCTTTCACCGAAAAGCTAACTCAAATGCTCTCTTATGATAATTTCTTAGAGTAAATCCTTTATAATAAAAAGAAATTATAGAACCATGAAATTATGGCTATGACTCTTGATAGTAGTGTTGTAATTTAAAATATGGTGACCTAAGCTTAAAGATCTGGGAAGTTTTTCTTTCCCTTGTCACATATGTGTCATACCCTAAATTTTACCCCTTAGATGTCATCAACATTTGCGTGAGCATCATAGGTCAATCATCCTTGCATTACTAACCAAATCATCAAGCTTTGTTTGTCTTGTTGAAATTAATATTTTTAGAGAAGAGGACGAAGCTTTGATCAATAATGAGTTGAGTGGGAAATTAACCAAGGAGGTCCTCACACATTTATTGGGTTCATAAGAGGTCATTTGGTCCAAAGAAATCCAAGTCAAGAGTTTCTTAAGTAGATAGGAGAGGAATTGACTTCATCTGATTCAAAAGTCAACTCTTGAGTTTTATGGTCAATACTAAGCTTTAGAGGTCTTAGTCTATGATCTCATATGGTTGGATAATCAAAATTCAAAGTTGAAACAACAAAATAAAGAGATTTGAAGAATTAGGGTTTCTTGATGAAAATTTCTAAGTTAAAAAGGCAACATTTAAAGTGATTTTCAAGGCAAAATTCAATATGGTTCCAAGTGTAATTTTTTTTTGCAATCAACATGAAAGTTGTAGATCATATCTTTAGATCTCTTTTAATACCAAGAACTCCTCAAGATCATTTTTAGAACTCAAGTTATGATGTTTTCAAGTGGAGGTTGTCGCTACTGTGAAAAAAGGTGCCGACAATGACAGAAGAGTCGCCACCATTCGTTATTTATCCCAAAAGAGGGAAAGGAAACGATAATAGAAAACCTGACTAAAATGGGAGAAGACAGGTCATCACAACCATGTCTCGGGTTCGGGAGTTGGTTACGCAAGGGGAAGGTATTAACACCCCTCACGTCTGTCGTACTCGACGGGATCCACGCTTTGCTGTCTATCTAAAAGGGTGTTTACTATCTAACTAAAGGTTT